TACAGGAAGGTAAGTTGTCGTTTTCATTTGCCATTGTGAACTGTTTCAATGATTTCCAGTTCACATGGTACAGTAGTAGCTGGACCTCTTCCTGGTGTAGCCAGAGTATGAAAGTGTCATCTATGTATCTCAGCCATAGGGTTGGCTTTAGTGATGTGGATTCTAATGCCATTTCTTTGAAATATTCCATGTTTAGATTTGCCATTGCTGGTGATAATGGTGAACCCATTGCTAAGCCTTCGTCCTGTCAATATATGTCTGATCCCATTCCAAAGTTTGTTTGTGTACAGAAAGTCAGCATCTACATCAGGTTATCTATTGGTATACTGGTCCATTCTCATAAGGATGAGTGTGAAGCCAGTCTGTCCCTGACTACCAATAGTGTCTCTTCCATGAGCACCTTGGTGAACAGACACACCACATCAAGGATCATCATCTGGTTGGATTGGATGGGAGCATTTTTGATTATTTTTACAAAGTGGGCAGTGTTTTGGACATATGTAGGTGACTTACTTATTAAAGGGTCAATTCAAGGAAGCAACTCAAAGGGTCTTTGTGAATTTTGGGTAGACTGTATATATCAGCTAGCTTAGACAATTGCCTGTATGTAAATAGTGTAAATAATTACAATACCTCATCTCAGAAATATAGACAGATATCGAAGGATCGGTATGGACCTGATATACAGAAAATATGGAATCAATTAGAAAAGTCCCACTAGAAGCTGGCACGAATATCAAACAATCTAACATTCCTACACTGATGTGGAGACTTACAACTCATCCCTTCTGGTCTAGCACCAATAAACCCCATCTATTTAAAGAGAGCCCATCTGGTTGCAGACAAAATGGGACATGCACTTGTCCAAGAAAGAATCCAGTGCAACTGTTGGATAAAACAAAAACTGCAATCTGATATTTCCCAGAGACTCAATGCCTTCTTCAACAGAATCACTGACAAAAAGACTGAAAAAAAGATCCAGCATGAGCTGGATAAATCCTTCAGACTTGAAATCAATACAATAAGGCCTGCCAAGTACAATAAGGCCTGCCAAGTACAAAACTTAAACAGATTGAAAGCTCAGAAAGTGATGCACAAGTGAAGGCTCGGGCAGATGAGCTAAGATGGAAAGTGAGACAAATACTGGAGAAAGCCAAGCCACTCAAATCAAACATCAGAACCATATATAAATGAAATAAGACACTCAGTTCAAAATCCCAATCACCTGAAGAAGGCCAAAGCATACAACAGCTGAAATGTCGTGAGTATGGCAACAATGATGAGGGCAACAGTCCAAAAGATGCAAATAGTGTAAATTATTACAATATCTCATCTCAGAAATATAGACAGAATTTGTTTTTCGATACATTGTATTTATTTTCAATATTTCTAGTTGAATTATTCACCTATATTGCATATGATCCATTATTGTACATAATTAGGTTACAATAAAATTTGTATTTTATATGAATACTAGTCTATGATAATTGAAATATAGTAGAGTTGGCGGTCCCTGTTCATAGATTGGGGTGGGGGCACAAGGCCCTTGCACTGGCCCTGGTTATATAACAACATTAATAAAGGCTGTATTTTGCTTTGTAATTAATAATGTTTGATATCAAGAGTATTAATCACAATAATTAAATATGTTCACTTATCTCTTTATGCCTGTTGTGAGTTAGTGAATTATGCCGGACTCTTCAAGATACTTGGCAAATTTACAATTCAGTCTGTTTATGGCCATGTCACTTTGAAACACAAGTTCCTATACAATCACTGAAGTAATGTTGAGCCTGGTCAGTACCTAGCTGGGTGACTGCTTGGAAATGTGCTATAAGCTTGGATATGCAGGTGGTGCCATGGATAATGACTTGGAATTGTTAATTGGAGAGCAGAGTTCATTATATTCACTTACGTGTAAATACTTTTGGGAAAAAGTATGAATCCATGTCTTTCCACCTGCCTAGCTGTTAGTAAAACTTGTATCACTAATAGGAGTAGATAGGTTTGCCTATCATCCGGTTCACACTCCTCCCCAATCTTTTGAACAGGAGTAGAGGTATATCTCTTGTTTCTTGTTTACAATTGGGTTTCTGATTCCTTCTAAAGCCTTTTCCTTATGTAACCCTCTACCTTGAGTGGCTATTATACAGGGTGAATATCATTGTAAAAAAGACTTTCTGGCTTTAAATAACCTACTATAGAATTATACAGCACCCTGATGACATTACTTCAGACAAGTAGATTTTCAGTAACATGTTTAAACACACGTCACAACTACATCGTCTGACTCTTTCTTTTCATCCTACAAGGGACAAAATGATGTAATGAATATGTATACACCTAGGTTCCCCCCTCACAGTAATATGATTGGCTGGTGTCATCCATAAATACAGACTGATGTATAGATACAGGGAAGACGCCTATTGCATACCACTACAATGAAGACCAGTCCATTACTGTTACCTGCTAGATTGTCCTACTTAGTTACAGTAGACCAAAACCACTTTGCTACTTTGAACAAATATATCCCTTTCTGGGACATATCACAAAACAAACATACAGACTATGTACATATGGTCCGAATAAAATTCTCCCCATCTGGAGGGGAGTATTGTGAAGTTACCACACTTAATTTCCTAAAAAAAACTACCACTACTAGACCCTCCTAAAGCCTATAAATAGGGAGTGACATTCTCTCCATCATCCTCTTTTTCCTATTTCACCCAGGGACGGTAAGATGTAGGTTGCATATAGATAAGAATGCTGCCGTTGAAGCGTGTTTGCTTCCCTGGGTCCACCGTTGACTTTTGAACTCTCTCACACACATGCGCATATATATATATATATATATATATATATATATATGCATGTGTCTATCACACATGCTTGTTACACTTTTACACAAACACCTTCACTAGTTTCAATGTTTTCTTCTTTCATGATCATTGTTTTGCAGCACACAATATTCTATTGTTTATGTATACCTTTGTTTTGTTAATATATATCATTTGTTTATATATAAGTGAACATTGAAGTCAACACTCAGAGGCGACAGACTGTTTCATGTTAAACGCAATCATCAGGTCCTGGTAATTGCGTTTAGCATGAAACAGTCTGTCGCCTCTGAGTGTTGACTTCAATGTTCACTTTTATATTTACATACGCTCTATCTCTGATATTGAGCACTTTATCCCATAAATATAGCATACCTTAAACTGAAACTATATTACTTCATATATATATTATACACACACATATATATTATTACTTTGCTCGTTTATAACCAAGACTCACATTAAGAGTCCACCATTTTTGCTGTGGGATAAATATACCAGGCGCCTTTTTCTTTTTCAAGCTAAAACACAATCAGCACAACCACAGCATATTGCACGTAAAACTCTCGAATGTGACTCATAGTCTGGTAAAAAATGTTGAATTAAATTTAAGTTTTTACTTACGGGGGGTGGGGTGATAATTGAAATAAAACTGAATATCGAAAACAGTATCTGAATCTTTCAAGAAGTTCAGGTGCGTTGTTTATGATCAAATCAGTATTTTTGGTAAAGCTATCGTCTGAAACGCTAAAATGAACAAAGATCTGCTCCAAATAGTTACCAGTTCACAATCAACGAAAATTGTTAAATTTTACAAATCTAAAAATGTTTTTTTAACTTATGGATGCACGGAAGATTGCTTGCGACAAAAAGTCGTATTTTGTGAAAATTTTCAATTAATAGGATTTTTTTCTTTCCCAACAGATGAGGAAAGTGACAATTACTCGACTAACTAAAAAGCAAAAATAATGTCTTATTAAATAAATCTTAATTTCTACGGAAATTGTTACCCTCTTCAGCTCTAAGGTAACGAGCAAAAAAAAAAAATATATATATAAAAAAATAAACAAATATTTAAAACAAATGAAATGACGACAGGCAGATAAAAAAATGTAAAGGATTTTAAGTATTAAAATATTAAGTGATTAATTTTGTTTTGTTAAGCAAAATTCACACGCAGTCTTTAAATAAAAACGGGAAAGTTTGAAAAAAAATAATTTCCTGGATTTCAGGAAGACACCTGTTTTACAAGTTTTCATTTTTGGCGGCTAACGAAGGCTTCTTCTTAGACAAGAAAAAATAGCATTTAAATTTAAAATTAAAGGAAACTATTAAAAAAAAACTGTAATTCATTATTTATTTTTTGTTTGTTTCATAGATATTTTCTTCCCAGGAGAAGTGTCGGTAATAAACTAAATTAAAAAGTAGTAATTGAGTTAGAAATCTGAACAAATGAATGTTCAGACGAGACAGTAATTGTCTTCATTGCATTAAGAAACAATATTTTAAGAAATAAGACAAAAAAAAAAAGCATCATGAAATTGTGCTTTCTTAAAATGGGTACAAAATTAAGGAGTGGTCGAATGTAATTGTCATGTTTGTGACACCTCCCTATTTATTTTTGGAGGACTTTCCGTGTTTGCTACAAACTTATCCAGGCATTTTTATTGCTCATTAAAGCCTTCTATCAAGAGAACTTGAAATTTTAAAATAGATATTGAAACAAATAAAAGTAAAAACAGTAATTTAAACGAATCAACAGGTTGTTTGTAGCCAATCAGTCAGAATAAAAAGGACACCAGTTATTCAGACAGGCTCCATGGACTTTTAGCAAAGGAAAATCGATACAGAAGAATACTTTATAAAAAAAAAATAAAGCAGCTTTATAACGTATGGAATTATCAATTATGATATAAATCGACATTTTTCTACTGTAAACGTTTTTATTATTTAAATTATAAATTATTAGTTATCGTAGATAATGTTGGCAAGTGTTTAAGAAACTTGTACAACAACGGTAACACCGTAACATACTTTCTTTTTTAGTTTTACTAAGTCTAAGAAGAGTCTTCTTTTTGGTTGTAAAAACATAGATAAGACGATTCAAATTTTTTTTAATATCTACAACGAAACAGTAAGTAAAAAAAAAAGATGATAACTTACCGAGTTATAGAGGTAAAATAAATAATTCGTAAATTTCGCTCTCGTGGTACCTGTTGATTTCACAGGTGGGTTAATTACTAATTACTCGAACCTCTTAAGGAGATCCCATTAAAAACCGTGAACAAAACATATTAATAGGTCAACAGTAACAGAAAAATCAGTGGAAAACGCAACCATCCTTTATATGTCGACTTTTTAGTCCTCACTTAGTAGTAAAGCTTACTACTACTACTACAACAGCACACCTGAGCCGGTAGGAGACTTCTCCTTCACAAATTAAGACAGGTAAGGTAAGGTAAGTAATGATAGAGGTCTCAACTAAAAGTTTGACCCACCAATTGAAAAACGTTTTAAAAAGAAAATATAACATTCTGTCGCAACTCATTGCATTTTAGAGATACCAACAATAACAATTGGATTTTAAAACGTTTAAAAAGGTGAATTGGAATAAAAATGCACAAATAATACGTTCTTTTTTTTGTCGTTGTCTGGATTAAAGAAACAAAAATGTAATAAAAACTAAACTATTTACGCTGAAGTAAAATAAAATATATAGTTAATTTGGTGGGAGTATAAAAAATATGTATGTTATATTTATTTATATGGATAAAAGTACTCAATATCAGAGAGGGGGAGAGAATGTAAATTTAAATATAAAAGTGAACATTGAGGTCAACAGGAAGCGGCGATAGTCTGTTTTATGTTTCAACGGCCTGAAGATTGCATTGAAACATGAAACAGACTGTCGCCACTTGGTGATGACCTCAGCGTCCACTTTTATATATTATTATTATTATAAAAACAATTTACCCTAATATAGCGATTTACTACTTTCATAACATTTTAAGCAATTTTTCGTTATCGAATGTTTTTATTTAATCTAAGACATATACGTATACTACAGAGATGTTTCTACAATTATATTGCCCGTTCTAATAACATTCTAATTATGAAAATTGCATTTCTTGTTCCAGTGTCTTGAATAAACCCTACTTCCAGTATAATTTTGCTACAAAATTACACTTCACTGTTTTTCAATGAGGAGATACCAAGTTTTTTTTCGCCGGGATGTCGCCCGATATATTTTACGTCATTGTATGTTATGTTACGGGGGGTGGGAGGCACGATGGGGTAATGGATCGCTGCTCGGATTAAGGAATCGGAGAGCCGAGTTCGAATTCTATTCGAATCCATTACATTCACTTACGTGCTATGAAACCTCTTCGTCTCCCTCAGCTATGGGTAAATAGCAGGACAGACCGGGTTCTATAGCAACTGGTCTACCGCAGAAAGAAACAGCAACCTACTGCGGAAAAAAAACCTGCCTCGTCAGTCATGTATCGAAAGATACATGATCGCCTATGCATGTATCATGCATTGCAGATAACTGACTGATGTTATGTCATTACGTATGTGCGTGGGAGTCAGGATTAGTAAATAAATATTTAATATTAAATTATTGACTATTCCCTACCATCATGATCTAGATTACTGACATCGCCTCAATACAGAACAAAAGTGTCATTTATCTATTACAAATCAACTAGGTTATATTTGCCGGCTCAGTAGGATTTTACCGACATTTATCGTCACCTCTTTTTATATACACACACACACACACACACACACACACATATATATATATATATATATATAGAGAGAGAGAGAGAGAGAGAGAAAGACGTGTGGGGACTGAAAGAAACGTTATTGGAGCAAGTCAGAAATCTTTTTACTGTTTCTCATGTATTTATAACCTCGATCCGAAAAATGTATCATCCATCGGAAATTCACTCTTTTTTTTGCCGACACTCAAAAGAACAACCTTTGGGTGAAATGCGAGTTTATTCCTGCACCAGGGCCAGTGCAAGTGTCCAGTACCCCTCCTAATTTATGACACAGATCCGCCCCCCAAATTATGAAACGAGGCCCCTATTCTACTACATCTCAATTGTCATAAGGTAGAATTCATATAAAATAGAAATTTTATCGTAACCTAGTTATGTACAATAATGGATCATGCAGTGCCGGATTTAGCATTGACCTTGGGTGTGCTTAAGAAGGGGCCTCATCTTCCTTCCATGCCTTTGTAGACATGGCGGGCCTACCTCCTTTCGGGCCCAAGTAAGGGTCTTCGTAACTTAACTAGCACAAGGTCTCATTTGTCCTAAAATCCGGAGTTGATCATCTATATAAATAAATGTGAATGTCAGTGTGTCACTGTGTCACACTTTTTCAACTTCACTCCTGCAGCTCATTTTTCGTTTCCATTACTGAGATTGTTTTCAGAATCTGCCATCTTGGCTACTACTGATAAAAACAATTAAAGGGACACAACTGTCTAACTTTCAATAGCTCATGTTCAAATGAAAAAATAATGTTCTCAAATTACAGTGTTTCAAAATAAATTTATCCATGTTTTCAACTTTAATCCTAGAGGATATCATACCATCTTCGAATCAGACCGACTCCGTGAGCAAATTAAAAACATTCAGGACCGGATGCGACCCCGCAATCCTGAAATTTTGGATTCCCAAATTTTCATTACTGTGATAGTTTTCAGTGATTTTTGTGACAAATTTTTTGTACGATAATTTTTATAGCTTGGAAATAAATTTGGGAATAATCAAAATTAACTGCGAAATCCGGCGAAAGTCATCCATGAAATAAAAATAATGGTTTGTATGGAAAGTAAGGACCTACGTACATCAACTTGTCTTTAAATTAAGTAGTGACAGAAGAATTATCGCCGAAAGATAAGCTTAAATATTAACGTAATACTTCAATCTTGAGTTTTTGTATAGTTTATTGTTGCCTAATCTAATCCTCCCTACCTATTGTGAGGAAGGCCCAAATCAAGAGCCCCCCCGCGGAAGCTAGCTTAAATGTCGCCCGATGAGGCGGATTTTAAACTAGTATGCTATATAGGTGAACAATTCAACTAAAAAAAAAATTGAAAATAAATACAATGTATTTAAATACAAATTAGAGACCTGTCATAATAGATCATTCCAGCTTAAATAAATCAACAATATTTTGCAGCAATTTTTAACATCAACTTGAGATTTTTCTTGTTAAAATGTTGAAGAATTTTAACATATTCAACATTATGGACAAAAATAATAGTGAAATTTATATAGTGTTTTTCCGAAACTTAACATGAACAAAACAAATTCACGGATTTGGACGAAAAAAAAAAAAAACAACAACCCCAGAATGACGTCAAAATCCATGAAAATTTTTCATCCTTTAATAATCACTGTGCTTAGTTTAATTTGTAACGTATATAAATATAAGTAGATAAAAGCAAAAGTTGATAAGATATGGTGGGTCACAAAGCACCTCCAATAAGGCTCCCCAACACCACGGTCGAAGATAGTACGCACCGAATATGTCTGCACATTTTTTTAAAAAAATATTTACAATATATTTACAGCGAGTGTAAACTGGGGTTTACTCTTATTCATTACTATCTTGAATATCTTTCGCTCATAGGGGAAATAGAATATTTAGTCTGGCACAAGGTTACAATAATTGAGCATAAATTCGATTTATTTGGAATAGTTGACACATAATGATAAAAGAGAGCTTGGAGAATTTAATAAGCACTCCCCCCATCTCTACACCCGTCTGTAAATTTATTTGCGTTCATCGATTTCTTTGCGCATCATGTCAAGTGACTTAATGCCACTGACCTCACTGGCATCTCGACCTTAAGATGAATGTCTGGATGCCATCGAGTTCTATTATTCAATCTCTCACTCAAATAGTAAACTTCTCCACGTGTTTCCCCAATAATTCTGACACACACGCTTCTCTACTTGATTTATTCTTTACCTCCTCCGCGGACTCATGTCGTGCTCTGCAGCTCTGTCCACTTCGACAGCGATCGGCCACCTACCGCACGCGTGCCACGCCAAGCAATTTCCAATGGCACGCAGCCGCAAAGTGCAAACCAATAACTACTACAACACAAAGAAGATATTTAACTGTTTCAATTTTAATATATACTAAAGTATATATATACTATATATTACTATATAAAATTTATTATGGATCAGGTATATTGACTTTGACTTTATTTACATTATTCAGACTATTGTCCTCATGTTTGTCGCCATATTTATTACGACGTTTCGGCTGTTGTACGCTCCGGCCTTCTACATGTGGTTGGAATGTCGAACTGAACCCTTTATTTCGCTCACTGGGGTAGACTATTCTAGTTCCACGGGCCATGTTTAATGGATGTTAGTTATCAGTTATCTCCTGTTAATTCCCCTCTCCAAGTTCTGCACTGCCTTAACCGGGTATTGAACTCACACTCTTTGGGTCATCTAACTAACGCCTTTATCCACTGTGCCATGTATCCTCAAGGACATATAGCACAGAGGACACCTGTGTATGAAGTTCTGGGTATTAAAAACCTAATGTCTTCAGCAACTTTTTTTTCCAGTGCTCATATTGCAATTTTTTGCTGTTATCATTCCATGTTTTTACCAGAGCTCATATTGCAATTTTTGTTGTTGTTATCGCTTTTCTCTGGCACTCGTTATTACTGGTTCCCATATTGTATTCATTTCTATGCTTGGTCGGCTCAGGAGATTTTTGTGGCCTAGCATATGTGCTGATTCCTTACAACCTTACGGCCGAAACGTAATAAATATGGCGACAGAGGGGAATTAACAGGAGATAACTGATATCCATTAGACATGGCATGTGGAACTAGAACAGTCCATCCCAGTGAGCGAAATAAAGGGTTCAGTTTAACATTCCAACCACCTGAAGAAGGACGGAGCGTACAACTGCCGAAATGTTGTAATAAATATGACGACAAAGATGAAGGCAATAGTCCGAATAATGTAAATAGTGTACATAATACCTCATTTCACAAATATAGACAGATACTGAAAGGCCGAAACGTTGTAATAAATATGGCGACAAAGATGAAGGCAATAGTCCGAATAATGTAAATAGTGTACATAATACCTCATCTCAGAAATATAGACAGATACTGAAAGGCCGAAACGTTGTAATAAATATGGTGACAAAGATGAAGGCAATAGTCCGAATAATGTAAATAGTGTACATAATACCTCATCTCACAAATATAGACAGATACTGAAAGGCCGAAACGTTGTAATAAATATGGCGACAAAGATGAAGGCAATAGTCCGAATAATGTAAATAGTGTACATAATACCTCATCTCAGAAATATAGACAGATACTGACCTTGACTTGTATAAAAATACGTATGCTGTTGGCAGACTGAATGATTTTAAAACCCTAAGTCAGCACATAGCAAAAGGGTTGCCGATTCCTGCTCTTGGTAACACCAACTACGCGGTAGTGTCTATAGATATCTATTTCTTAAAAAAAAACATTTTTGTGTTGTCAACGTACACTGATTAGGACTAATTTTGTGATTTTCTTTGCGATGCCCCTTGAAATGCCTTTTTTAATCATCCTGTTGAGGTCACTGTGCTACTGAGGTCACTTCCGGGGTGAAAGTCGTCATCAAAGCTTTCGTGCCAGCACAGGAATACCAAGGGAAATCACAATCTTCTCCTTGGTTCTTTTCTGCCTGTTCAGTCGCTATAGCCCACGGGAATCACTTCTTCCGACTATACAGTAACATACATCTTTGTCATTAACCGTAATGAGGCCTATCTTTTCGTGAAAGAAGCAAAGTCACTATTTGATGATAGAATGAGACACCGTATAGCTTCTCACATGTTTGATTCTAGAGATTACTGGCGACTCTGTAAAAGAGTGGGGAACAAAAGCAAATCCTTATTTACTGCTTTCTTCAATGAATTTGAAATATTGACATCTACGACAGATAAAGCTGGGTGCTTTGTTCGGAAATTCTCTTCCAACTCCACTCTCGGCTCATCTGGAGTATCACTGTCCGATTCTACTCTTCGGAATCTCTGTTGAGTGATATGCGTCCATTGTTTGTACTATCATTTCAAAACAAGAGCCCCACAAGGCATAAGGATTCGACGGTATCCCTGAAATGTTTCTAAAGGAATTTTCTCCTGAACTGTTTTTTTCTTTTCTCCAAACTTTACAATAAATGCCTTGCTGCTTCTTATTTCCCAGTTTGCTGGAAATCCACTTCTGTCGTTCCTGTCTTTAAGAACTCTGAGAAACCGTTTTACTCCTCAAATTATTGCCCTATTTGTTCCTAACCTCTTTTTAGCAAAGTAATAGAGGCTCTAAGCAACGCTGAATTGGTTAAGCATCTTACTTCTCATGGCCTTCTTTCGGACAAGCAATATGGCTTGTAAATTTTAATGCCTCTAAAACAAAACTGCTTTTATTTAATTACCAGAGAAAACCTTTTCTACCTATCATCAGTATGGCTGATGCAAAACTCCAGGAGAGTTACGCTCTATGCCTTGACAAAATCCAAAGAATCCAATCGCCATCTTCTTAATTCTTCACTGTGTCTTGCCACACAATTTTTATTGTCAGAATCCATCTTGCACATTTATAAA